AGTAGGTCCTCCCTGTCTTGGATGCTGACCTGCAGCTGCCCCCACCAATGCACGACCACTCATGTCAGGGAAGACCTACTTTGCCGGAATGACAGCTGACCCCACAGAATAACATACACTCTGTTCAGTGAAATTCCTTGACCAGTTGACCTGAAGAACAACAGTGTGAATGTTTGAAAATGTTTGTCAACCGCAACACATTAAGCACCAGTCACAGGTTCTTGAGAGAGAGTTTAGATTTCACCCTGGTGCTGAGTTAGAATGGAATCTGTATTTGCTATTTTAAGTTTATCAAAAGGGGGTTTTGTTTAGGGTCTCTGAATACATTAATTCACTTTCCATTATTTCTAACAGGAAAAACTGATTCAGACTTTGAATGGCTTCATGGAATAAATTAAATTCAAAGTATGAAACACTTGCTGTACAGTATATAAAATCTTATTTTTAATATATGAATAATATATTCTATTTTAAAATGGAAATATACATGTGAATACATTTCTAAAATTTCTTAAAAATGGATCAGTGGATATTTACACTTAAAGATTTGTAAATATAATATGTAAAAAAATTCAAGACTTGAAGAGAGACTTCTTATATGTGAAATTTTGTTTTAGAAATTTTTAGAGGTTCATTTTTGAGACATTTCTAAAAGGATTGAAAATAAATTATTAAAAAATATGAAGTTTTGTCTAAATTTCTATAGTTGCTAATTTTTCAAATTAAGATATTGCTAACAATATATTGAAAAATTTGTATTAGAATAAAAAAAATTATAAGAAATAAGAAATGACGTATGGCTGATTCCTTGACTGTATGTACTTTGATAAATTCTTTTGCTCTGAATATAAACTTAAGCAAAAAATTCCAACAAATGCAAGACAAATTTTTATGAAATAACAGCAAAAACAGGATATTTTTCTTATAAAATTATACAAACTTAAATTGTTGTGTTTTAAACATTTAAATATATATAATATTTAGATAATAAAATACGAGTAAGCTGGTAAGCAAATAATCTTATTGACCAATTATAAATAACTGATCATATGATAAATTTTTTTATAAAAGAAAGATAATCACATAATAAAATAGTTTAGTCATCGATATTATATGAGAAAGTATAACTAAGATGTGACACACGACACAATAATTTATCTATAATCAAAATACAAATAGAAATAAAGTGTATAAATGGTTAAATAAATGAATTTTTAAATAAAAATAAAAAATGATTGTTTCAAATAAAATAAACTTCTCTAGAAACTGGACTATACTATAATGTAAAAACTCACTACCTTGATATTCACCCAGCTGATTTAGGACTTTTACACCTGGACGCATCCTACTGATCAATTCTGGAAGATTTAAATTCAAATTTACATGGGAGCTCTTCTGCATTTGACATATTAAAACATTGAAACTTTAGAAGTTCCATCTGTTTGAAATTTTCACCTGAAGCAGGTCTTAGAGGAAGTCTGAAAACATTTTTTTTCTGGAAAATCAGCTGGGCGAATTTCAAGATAGCGAGTTTTTACATGATTGTTCAAATAATGGAAACTTTATTTACTTTGAATTTTTTTATTGTATATTAACACCACTTAAAAATGATCATAAAATACTGCTTGAAAAATAGATATATAAATAAAAATAGTTTTAAATTACAGCTCTTAGAAATTGCTAAAAAGGCATCCCTCATCAACCATGGAGGGTTGAATTTGAAAAAAATGGTGTGATTGTTAAACTGCAGTTGACAAAACAGAGATTATGGGCAATAAGAATTTTTTAAACTAATAAGACTTTCCATCCCTACTCCTCATGAATTTGGCCAGCTTCACATTGGAAGTAACCAGTGACAAGGGAGAAGACCCAACATATCCAAGACAGGTTACCCATGAAAAATTCCTGAAAAATTGGCTTGCCTGGATTTGATCCCAGAGCAGTAAGTTGACACCTTAACCACTTTGGTCATCTAGTCATTACAGGAATAAGAAATTAAAGAAAGGACGATAACTATAAAAACATTATATAAAAATAAAATTAGTTTTACATTAAATATAATGAAAATTTTTGTAAACCATAAAAAAAACTACAAAATTATTTCTAATTGGCTCAGAAGTATCACAATTCTTAAAGATGAATTGAAGACTAAACCAGCCTTTCAAATCTTTTCAAAGTTAGAATATTAACAAATTTCCAATTCTCACTTAATGTTAAAACTGGTAACTGTATTAATATTTATAAAATATACACTACTTGCATTCCAGTGAATGCTAGCATCAGTTTTTCAATTTCATCATCATCTTTTTTTACTGCCTATCTCAATGGCAGTAAAAATAATACTTTCTATGTTAATGACAAAGCAGTAGAAAAGACACATTATATTTTAAAACAAAGTAAAGTAAGTTAAAAATTTTATAATTAGTTTGATTATCATCATGTTTGAGTTAATATTTTTATCAAGGATTGAGTTAATAAAAATAGCATTATTTCAAAATGGCAGTTAAAAAAATTGCAGTTAACAAGGAATATCTATAATTATTATTTCTTATACTATATTGGTACAGTTGACCCCCCCCTATAACACAGGTTCCTACAGTTTGGATATCATTGCAAAAAAATTGCAACATGCTAAAAAAAAACTTGTATAATTCAGTAAAACATCATCACCGACTCATGTCATGACAGGGTTGGTCAAATCTATACCAATAGCGGATATTGTACAAACTGTTGAGTTTAAACGAGCAGCGGACCTACAAAAAACCATTTATTATTTAACATCCATAAAAATTATATTTATGTTAATGATATCTCCAAAGTTCAGCAAATTTTTTGCAAAAAAATAATTAAATAATATTTTCAAAAATTCAAACGAAATAAAAATAACTTTTAAAGTCAAACTAAAATTAAAAATGAACTTGTTTGTGTTGTTTGAAAATTAAAAATAAACTTAGTGAGACATATAAAATATTTAATCTTTTATTTATTTTTACAAGGTGAGTTAAAGTCTACCTAAATAACCCTAATGGCAGCACTTTGGACTGTTCGTGCTCCTGGCAGACTCCTCCTGGAGGGGAGTCACCAGAAGGCCGCCCATTGTTTAACATCACTAGTTATTGATTCACAGTAGTTCTTGAACAAAAGAAAAAAAAAAGGACACGTCTACTAAAAATGTAATTAACCTAACCAAACCAACCTAACCAAANATGAACTGGAGAAGAAAGGATGATGGTGATGACTCTGTGGTGGCATTTCGAATTACACAAAATAAATTTTTTTTACACCGGCACCTATTTATAGTACATAAATCAGTTTGGCCTAGGTCAGACTAGTTAAACCTAAAGTATTTAGGCCAAACTAGATTATCCTAGGCTAAACTAGTATATCCTGACATGAGTAGGATAAACCAGTTTGGCCTGAAATCGGTTTTGGCCAGTAACATAAATAAATGTAACCATTCATTGTCTTGAAATTGGATATAAAGAACAAAAATTAATTGTTAAAATTACAAATACATATCTTAGCCACATGCTGAAATTTACTATTTTAAGAAGTCTCTCTAGCCATTTCTTGCAGTGCTAGCATACCCTGTAATAGATTTTTGCTTCAGAATTTTTCTAGTTTCTTTGGTCACTTCTTGGAATGCTAACCTGATTTCTACATATGCTGAAATAGGTGTATATTTCAGCATCTGTCTAATGAAACTAATCATTTCAGTAATATCTAACAGTTTATTAGCACATGATGTAAAACAAAACAATTGAATATTTCCACACTTCTGTATGTTGTAACTTTTTGAACATTGATTATTTGATTAAAAAAAATATATACCATTTAAAACATATAGGTCTATATCAATCTTAGAAAAATAATTTTAGTAAATAATTACTTTTGTAAATATAACAACACAGCAAAAAAATGAAGCCTGTAGTTTACACTTTGAATTCAAGAATATTTAGCACCTGTAAAATCCAAATGAAATAAAACAGAAGCAACTTTAATATTACTTATATTTTTTTATTAAAAAAAAACTTTCAAAGTATAGGTATTCCCAAAAATTTTTCTGAGTACATTATTAGATTATTTACTGATATTTTACTGATTACTAATATTTTTTAATGAATAAAACAAAAACAAATGCCATGTAGTAGTACTCAGTAGTATACTAATACATTACTGAAAAATCTAACTGCATATTTCAGTTGCAAACATAAAATAAATCCTCAAGTAATGTTGACAGCAATGCAATATAATTTTATTTTTTACTGTTTGCAACACTACTTCACTATAAACAGACTTCACAAAGTGAGCTGACATTCAACCTGTGTAGTTTGTTGGAAGTGCAATGATTGGATAGGTGAGGCAATTAATATGTCAGACTATTGCTCTGGGGATACAAGCTCAAATCCAGGCAAGCAACTTAGGAATTTTTCATGGGGGTTATATAGCCATGGATGTATTGGGTTCCATTCCTTACCACTTTGCCATCCCCATTGGCTGAACCAATCATTGATCTCTTACTGCCCTCAGGACAAAGAGAAGAAATAAATAAATATATATATACACATACATACACACATACATACATACATACACACACACATATTGCATATGTAACTTAAATTAAATATGAACTTAAAATATGTAAAAATTGCAATCAAGAATACCAGAAATCTTTGTTATGATATATAGAAGTGCAGAAATGTTTAGCATTTAACTGTCTTGTTTCACACCATGTGATAATAAACAGTTTCAAAAGCCTAGTTTCACAAGACAGATACTGAAATGTACATCTATTTCAACATCTGCAGAAGCCAGGTTAGCATTTCAAGAAATGACCAGAAAAACTGGGATGGATTCTGAAACAAATATTTATTAAAGAATGTTCTAGCACTTAATAAATGGAAAATATCATCATGTGGCTGTGATATATATGAATTAGCCACACACCACTGTTTTATATAAAGTACTATATAATAATTAAATAATAAAAATGATACCTCTATATCACCAGTTATTTTCTTATCTTCCTGTAAGTAAATAAAAAGAATATATATTAATTACTCATTTTATATATTAAAAAGAATTTAATATACATGCAAATATTGTTAAACTATAACACAGATATTAGTTAAACCTACATTTTTGTTATAAGAATAAACAAGTTCTCAAAGTAAGCACATTATTATACCAAGAATCAGCAAAAAATGCATATATTTTAAAGAAAACAAACATTTTCTTCTGTTTTCAAATGAAAAGTTTTCAAAGTATAATGTTTTTAAAATTTATTAGTTAAAATATGATCTAGAAACTTTCAATAATTAAGTATTTTTTAGAATATAAAATAGTTTTAAATATATAAATAAAATTTTGATCTATTGTTCTCAGATGCATTGCCTTCCTAGAAACCACATTCAATTTCTAGGGTCTCTGAACAAATCCTATTTAAACTATGGAAACTAAGCCCATATCAATCATTTTCAATTTATCATTCTCTCACATCTATTGATCAGAATTTTTAGTCCTAAAATGTTAATCTCAGATTAATAATTTATAAGAACACCACTACACAAATACTGTAGTACTGTAGTAGACACTGGTAGTAGTAACAGCAGTTTATGTTTTTAGAACATGATGTAATAAGTAGCAATTTGAACTGTACAGTTAGTTGTTCAATCTTGCAAGTTTCTTACCTGCCAGTAATGAACTGGAGAAGAAAGGATGATGGTGATGACTATGAAGCCAAACTCAACCAATGCCAGATTTTACCAAAGCAATTTCTGGGTTCAAGTTCATGAGAGCATTTTTGTATGCTTACATCATGAAAAGAGACCAAACAAACATTGTGAATATTTAAAGTTTACTTTTCATTTTAAAAAGGAAAAGTGCTACTAAAGAAATGATTTTCAAAAAGAATCAATGACTTTTTCAAAAAGAAGTGATGTAAATTGGACTTGAGTCTTGGCAACAGAAAAAATATTACTGGCGTATGTTTTTAATTTAATAAATACACAAAAGCAAATGCAAGTATTTTTTATTGTTATTCTACTTTGACTTCTTTGAATATTTAATTTAAACTAAAATCAAAACTGCTTTATTCAGAGAACTTGCATATTATCATACTATGTATGTTCAGAACCAAGTGATTGTTAAAATCATTCCAATTCCTGTTTCAAACACAGTTTTTTCACCTAATGCACTTGAATAAATTTCAGCTAATAAAGTTTAATTTCCATGGTTCTTGCATTTATCTGCATTGCTAGATTTACTATTACATTTTGGACACATTTTTGAAATGCTAATCATGAAAGTTTATAAAAATTGCAAACAATAGCAAAAAATGTTATTCCAATATTATCAACTTCAATGCCACCTCACCAGAGGCAATGAAATATCAAAATTTGCATAAAAAACAAAATATGATGATACACAACAGAAATAAATCTACATTAATTTATTTATTATTGGCCAAATTCTGATTTCAACACCACTCCACAACTGGCATGAGATTCAAAATCTGCACGAAATTTAAATTTTAGATGTCATATTGACATTTGTAAGTAGAGGAGATCCTGTAATACAATATATTGATGAATTTATTAATAAAAATAAATCTGTGTTAGTATATTGTTTGTAATATAGTAAATACATGTTAATATATCAATTTTAATAGAATATAAAATGATTTATTTGCTTTTATAAATAATTTAATTTTTGAAATAGTGGCAAATAGTAAAAAAATAAGTATTATGTTTTTAAATTGAAAAAATAATTTATTTCTTCAATTTAAAAATTATTCAATTGTCTTCAATATTTATTTAGTTATGATAAATTAACTCAAGTTTCATTCAATTGTAATATTCAATATGAGAGTTAAAAATATGCTTATAACAATAAAAATCTTTCACTTTACATAGTAGTAATGAATTACAGTACAAAAGAAAAACAAATATTCAAGTGCATTTTTAAATGTTACATTATTAATATTATCATAAAGCATCTTATAATAGTTATAAAATTCCTTTTAGAGTTGACGTAAAGAAATAAATAACTTGTTATTAACATTATATATTTTTTAGCTTACTTGAAACATTTAACTTATTTCTTTATAGCCTACATTTAATAGATTATAATAAATATGTTTTTTCAAGTATAAAAGATATAATGTTATCATATTTTTAGAAAATAAATTTATTTGAAAATTTAAAAGTGTATGAAATATTAATTTATAACAACACACCACACCGGGATAAAGCAGTTAAAAACATACACAGAACCAATAACGGGTGCAAAAAAAAAAAAATACAAACAAACAATTTATTTGTATTTTTTGCACCAATTATTGGTTCCACATATTTTATTATTATAATTTATTTAATATTTTTTAATAAATTAAACAACACTAAACTATGTTTAGATTTATTTTAATTAATAGACCAAATAGTTAAAAAACAACTTTGAACAGGATTCAGTAAAATTTGATAAAGCCAAGATTTAAATTAATTTATCAAGACTAAAATATGCATTATCTCTTTCCATAACCTTGTACTTTAAACTATTAAAAAGTGACAAATTCTAAAATGATGAACAATAACAGTTCCCATATCTAATTAAATTCAGAATTTAATTCACTGATTAAATAACTTTTAAACAATTACTTTTTATTCATAAGCAAAACTAACAATTCAAATTTTAATGTTTTATAACATAAGAATAATATAAATTTACAACTAAAAACAAAGACACTATGTTTTGCTCAAATTCTTTAAATCAATGAATTAAATGCTAATAAACTTTCTTAAACCAAATTTTTCTTATTTTGTAAATTTCTGTTCATTTGTTTAAATTTAAAAATGATCTGAATTCTTAAAAATAAAATAATGATAGTTTAATTAATAATATGAAATATTTTTAATTCTAATATTAACACAAAAGCATATTATACATTCAATTATTACAGATAAATATCACATTACCTCACATAATTCTCCAATCATATATTGTTTCATGAGTTCTCTTGCATCTGTGGAATGGCCAACATCTTCAAAAGCTTCAGTGGCATTTTTTCCTAGTATATAAAAATATATTAAAATAATTATTAAATTTTAATCTATTTTATTAATTTTAATTAAATAAATAACGAAAAATTTCATAAGTAGAATAAATAAAGTTTGATTTTATTAAAAATTAATCATGAAGGATAATTATGAAATATATCTTAACAATTAGTAACAATGTATAATGCTAAAAAATACAAATAAAGTTTTAATATTTATTTATGAAAATATTTAAATAAATTAATATTTATACAAAAAAATTAATTAATATAGAATGCCCTATGTAAAACTTGTCCCACTCATTGAGTAAACAAATTATTGTAATCTTTGTATAAAAAAGGGGGATAAATAAGTAAACAAAGTGACTACAAAAGCTCTTTGAAAGTATAGTATATGACAAACATTATGGAAACTTGCGTAACATTGTCATTTAAGATGACGCCAATTTTATTCAATTGATGATTGGAGCCAGTATTCTGTGGAACATACTGTATTTTGTTCTGCACATCAATAAAAACACTTTAAATATTTTTTCAGCCCTGTTTTACTTTTCTGACAAACATTTTATTCTATTTTTATTTTACATTAGCATTAAAGCAAACTCTAGTAAAAATTAAATCAAACAGATTTAATTTTTACTAGAATAGATGTTAACTAAATAAAAATTTTTTTAATAATTTCCATATAATTTCATATGTTAATCTTGAACTGGATTATTGTAAAATACATAAAGTAATAGATAAATAAAAACATTCTTGCTGGAAAAGGCCAACATTTTAGATTTAAATATTTAACTTTAAAGAATTCTATTTAAAAGTGTTTGATCCTGATGATGACTACACAGATAGCTGAAAACGTTAGATAAGTAAAAAAATTTTTTCTGGAAAAGGCTATTACTTTATGTATTTTCCATTGCATTGCCACGAATGGAGTAATGATTGCATTGCCGAGTGCACTGACAAGAATTCTCTTTCATGCTGCTCACAAGTGATTCCGCCAGCTTGGTATTGATTGCATCCAAACCTCTTGTACTTTTGTGATGAAGTTTTCTTTTTCAGGATCCTGGTGCTCCAACTGGTTCTTGAGGATAGCCCATAGGTTTTTGATCAGATTAATATTGGGCTTAAGGATGGCCAGTCCAGGACATTAATGATGTGGTCATGGCTCCCAAACCAGGATCATTGGCGAGCCCCCCACTCAAACCTGAGACATTAGTGGTGTGATGCAAGGGACCTAACTATTTGGCTCCTGTGGTTGCTTTGGGATATGATAAGGTAGCTAAATGACAAAAAATATTATTTTCATTCACAAATTAAGCATGAATTTACAAAAACATAGATTAGATTTATTACAGACAATAGAGGAATATTCCACAAGAAAATCCAAGCAAAGCAAAAAATACAAGCTGGCCATCCTCATACTGGGGCCCTGACTAGGGTCTGGTCAGTCACTACCATGTGTGGACCATGCTTGTGGTCAACAAACCACTGTTGTATTGACTGCACAATATGTAGGCACACATTGTCTTGCTAAAGACTATATCCTTCCATATAGAGCAAACCCATCATTTCCAAAAGATGTTCATGCAAGATGTTTGGATATCATTTAACGTTAATGGACCCGTTGATAATTTTGAGTGGCATGATCCCTTGAGTACTTATGCCTCCTCACACCATGACAGTGGGTCCATGTGCTGGCATCAGTTTTTGTGGATGTGTATCCTCATGACATCAATTTGTTTCAGAACAGCTCAAAATAACCCTCATCAGTAAACAATACTTTGCTCCAATTCCAATTGGTCATCATGGCCCAAAGTGCACATCATCATTTGCGTTTGCCATTGAGAGTCTGCCATTTCTTGATGCTGACATGTTTCAAGTAATGCTGGATGCACGTGACACTCACTTTCAGGCCTCCCAGTCCCTCCAGCTCTGTGGCAATCTGACATGAGGACCACTTCAGATAACACAGAACTAGTTATGTCACTTGTTTGCTGAAAGAGTCTGTTTCAGTCCTGATCCTGACAACCATTCTAGTCCACATTCATCTTTACATTGCTTCAACATTCTGTACGCTGTAGCAAGATGAACACTGGTTAATCTGGCCAGTTCATTCGCATCAGTTTTCATGTTGTTGGTGAGCACATGGAATGCCTTTCTTTGATTCTCTTCCATGGTGATAGCATTAGAGTTTGGTGGATAAAACAGATGAGTCTGGATTGTCACAATAAAGAGGCCTCACTCAAATGAACACATAACACAACCTCTGGTGCTGTAATGAAATTAAAAGATTTGAAATTAGCACAATTGAAATATGTAGTCTTGGACAGAAAGAAGATCTTTGTCATGATTTTTTATTGTAAACCATAGATAAGGGATAATTACTGGATATTTATCAGTTTTCAAGATCAAAACACAAATTAATACAAGAGTGTTTAATTATTGTAAAATCACTTACATGTTGTGTCGTTACCATGGTGAATTATTAAAATATAAATGTAAAATGTTCATGAACACTTTTGGTAACATACAGTTACCATCTTCAGGNTTAGAAATCGGCCGCGGTTGCTGGGCTGTTCCGCGATGAAAACAAGCTTGAACAATGGCAATGTCGAATGGTGCACACTCGGTAAGTAATCCTACAATTTTTTGTTTATAGCGTAGTTTATACGGATTATTCCCAAAAAAAATATACGTATTTTGGAAATGTTGAGTCGGATTAGTCTAGAATCGATTAATTTTATGGAAAAAAACCTTTCAATCAGCCGTAGTCCGTAAACTTGACACGTGTCGGGCTGTGATTGGAAGGACTCGTAAGAAATCGGATTCCTAAAGAATGGAACGTATCTATGATCTTATGGGGGGGTCGACTGTACATGAAATAAAAATTCTTAATTATGTGCTAATCCTAGCCATTTTGTATGATGATGAGGTCTTGCAACATTTCATTCTTGTTCTGGGAAAGTGTTTTTGACTTATTTCTCTATTTTTCAGTAAACACTAACTCTCATCTGACTTTGGCCTGAGTTTTGTTTATAACACATCATGTCTGTGTGATATTAGTGCTTCTCTTCATTTCATTTATACTAATTATTTTGCAAACATGACTCCAAAATGCAAGGAAAGTGATGTTGGTAGCTGTGATAAGCCAAAGAAAATTTTTATCTAAATTGTCCACTTTAGATTAAGTACAATCAACTGAACTTTTAACGTCCAGTAACAAAAATTTTAATGTCAAATTGACAAATGTTTTCAATTTTCTTGAAAATGTTCATCAATTTGACATTAAAATTTCAGTTACTGGAAGTTAAAGATTTAGTTTATTGTACTTAGTATTTAGTTCCAGTTATTGAGAAGAAGTATTTTGTTCACTTTTTTTAAAAAACTTTAATTTTAGATTTAATGAGAAAAGAAAGTCTGCTGCTGAGATTTTTTAGTTATTTTTATGATTTACAGTATCATGCTATTTATGTTAATATAGTGTTTATTTGCCTTATTTATATAAAAAAAAAGGTGAGATAGTAAACCATATTAATTATTACAAATTTTGAGAGGTCTGGTCATGTATGATGGGGGCCCCTACTGCATAAATATGTTATGGACAAAGTGATTAATCGAGCATTATTCATAATGCCCAGTCATTATGAATAATGACCAAAAAGGGCATGCAGTGTGATAAATATTCATTAATTTATCAAATTGACTGGTCATTATAAATACTGCTATCACCTAGTCAGGCAAAGTGATAATAATACGTTGAAAAGTGATCATCCGACATACGTTAGCCAATTGGCACTTTGAGTTGCTGATTGTATCGTGTTGAGTGTGTATTATGTTTAGTACTGAATTTTAAATTGTGCAACATTTTAATTTGATTAAAAAAACTCCACTTATTTCATTTAGAAATATTTATTTTTTGTGAATTATTTCTAAGTATTTAAAAAACCATGTAATCTTTTAAAACTAAGTACTATTAACTACATTAATTAAATGGTAAAATTTTACCTATATGCACTGTAATGGCAGTGATCGCAACTGTTTGTGCTCCCAACAGATTCCTCCTGGAGGAAGCCGCCGATTGTTTAACGTCACTAGATATTGATACATACTAGTTATTGATACGTGTGTTCAAGAACTACTGTGAATCAATATCTAGTGACGTTAAACAAGACGCGGCTTGCCAGTAGCAGCCCTCTGGGAGGAATCCGTCTAAAGCACAAACAGATGCGACCACCCCAAATTCGGTACTAAACACAACACACACATGGAACTCAGATCCAAGTGCTGATTGGCTAGTGTATTTTGGATGATCACTCTTCAACACATTATTATCACTTTGCCCGACTAGATGATAGCAGTATTCATAATGACCAGTCAATTTGATAAATTATTGAAATTTATTACAATGCCAGATTTTGTTGATCATTATTCATAATACCCATATTAATCACTTTGTCCTTAACATATACATATAATCAATTCCAATCAATTAAATTATTGGAACTGAGAAAATACAATTAAACTTTAATAATATATAAAGATGATATAATATAATATCACATCATTCAACAATCTATAGGACAATAAAGTTTTTAATTATATTTAACACCCATAAATAATCAAAATGGTATAAATCAGTTTTTCTAGAATAATGTTTCAGCTGATTCATAAAGAATTTAATACTTCAAGAATATTAGTTTATTAAATTAAGAAGTCATGTAATAACGTACCTGCTTGTTCTAATAAAACCTCTTCTCCTCCTGGATGCTACAAAAAATATTTTAATGTTAAAACTTTAAAATATTACAATGATTACAATTATAAAAATTTTATCAATCAGATTAGAATAGAAAATTACACAATATTTAAATAAATATTCATTTAAAAATACAATCTTTTCTCTTATAACATGTTTTTAATGTGCAAATTTGTTTATAAATGGCAAATAAAATCACTAAAATGCAAAAATGTCTTTGCTCATATGCAACTTTTCATGAGATGACTATGCTTTG